ATTTTCGAAACTCATATTTTCGAAACCCACATTTTCGAAACTCATATTTTTCGAAAACTCATATTTTCGAAACTCATATTTTCGAAAACTCATATTTTCGAAACTCATATTTTCGAAAACTCATATTTTCGAAACTCATATTTTCGAAAACTCATATTTTCGAAACTCATATTTTTGAAATTCATATTTTCTTAGGTTTTCTTAAGTTACCCAAGCATATGCAAAGCTGTAACTATCAGTTTTCGAAAATATGAGTTTCGAAAATATGAGTTTTCGAAAATATGAGTTTCGAAAATATGAGTTTTCGAAAATATGAGTTTCGAAAATATGAGTTTTCGAAAATATGAGTTTCGAAAATATGAGTTTTCGAAAATATGAGTTTCGAAAATCCGAGTTTCGAAAATATGAGTTTCGAAAATATGCACGCAAATCTTGGCCAACCATCTCCTATTCTAGGCGTTGCTCCCAAAAATTTGCTACGTTTGGAAAACTGGAGATCTATAAGCTTAAGGTGATCAAACTTTGGGATGTTCGGTTGGAGGCCGTTTTGAGGTTTTGTAGGAAACATGAAAAATCACAAGCTAATCAACATCATTGATTCGAATTCGTGCCAAGTGGAGCAGGAGTTGAGTGCAAGCTTCTTGAGCTCTATTGGCTGGATGCGGCAAGGTCATTTTACGAAAAAACACCACAGTCCCGAAACCAGACAGATTTTACCGATGTCCTAGCTGCAATATTACCAAAATGACTTGCAACTGGAAAGCCCGAGCGTTGTTCCGGCTGTTGGCAAAATTGGACCGGAAATACCCGGGAGCACAAGCACCTTGAGCTCGCAATCTAGCTATATAGCAGGTGCCCGATAATTTGCCTAGGGTCCGCCCCTTCTTGAGTTGTGCTATTTTTATCTTTATATTTTGGTAACTTCTGAACTGAGGTGTTCGCGTCTCTTTAAATGATCTTTTGCAAGTGGTGAAGCCAGCTCAAAACGTGTAATTTTACGGGTTTTTCAGGCAAACTGTCCTTGGAATGTGGGACTTGATCCTCCATGCATGTATTGGTGCTCGCACGCAGCCTCTCTCTCTCTCTCTCTCTCTCGCTTCTTTCGGGACTTGTCGTTCTCTATCGGAAAACCAAGTGTCTTTCCTTCAAAAAAAAATTATGAACACTTTACTGGACACGAAGCGGTGGATTTGCACATTTTCAAGCGATCCGGGCGACTTGTACAGAGGCCTTGCTCGTTTTGCTGCTCGAGGTCTCGCGTGTGAGCGTCAGCTCCGCCAATTTGGAGCAGCGGCCACATCCGAACGTCGCCAGTGCAGCGGCGCGTACCTTACTTGCCTACAAATTTTCGATTGTAGCATTATTTTATCAAAATCAAAAGTATCGGAAACCGATGAGGCACCCCTCCAAAAACCCACCATAATCAGCGTAATTAACGGTATGAAAAGTGTAGTCCCAATCACGGCATAGATGTTGGCTGGCCGGGAAAACCACACCGGCACCTCATACACTAGAAAGAAATAGCGTTTAACAAGACTTGCCAAAAATTCCTTCAATTCAAAGACAATCCTATTGACTACTCACTTTCCGTGACCATGCCCAGGTTGGAGAAAACGAAAAAAGGCGGTGGCCAGGAAGGGGATCCACGTCTGGCGGTAGATCACATTCACGAGTTGGCCGTCGTTGAATTTGGCGCCTGTATACAGGCAATTAAAAGGGGATGATAAGCCATGAAGGAAATTTTTTTTCTCGGAAATTTCCTGACGACATATCAAACTATTAAACATGGTCAGGACGAAGTTTTGAACTTTGAATATTTCGAGCATCGACCCTTTTTGAGGGTAAAATATACTCGTCTATCGAAGCCGGTCGAAAAGCTCACTGATCGTTAATCCTGTTATTACATTATGTTCTATGACGCGTCCCAGGTTACCCTACGTACATTATTTGTATTCCATAACTTTCCCACCACGATCAACTTCAAAATACAAACTACAACCTCTAAAAGGCCTACCCCGGAACTACCGTATCCGGGAGATACCTCGAAAAAGTCCGTCGAGCACATCTTTTTCAATTAGGGGAAGTTCCCACAAAATTGCGCGATTCCCCACCACGCACTTATCAAAAACTCAACAAATTACCGTAGCTGGCGGAAACGTGAAAAAGCGCGTAAAGCACACGTTTTTGAGGCGAACATATTCTCATGGAAGTGAGGCAGCTCTGCTTTCTTTCTTTCGCATACATTTTTTTGCCTCAGCCCACGCACCCGGCTTCCAAAATTATCTGTCGTGGTACCATCCATGAGGGGCAAATAACGCATAAAATCCTTTTTTCAGAAAAGAAAATTTGCGAAATTTGCCGGCTACCGCATCACGCAACCCAAAAGGATGATTTTCTATAGCTCAGGCTTCGGGGCTTTACCAGGTCCCTGACTCGCTTATGATGCCGTCAACATCCCCTAGGTATCGAATCTATCATTTCGAATAAAATAAATGAATAGATTTTACCGTGTGCCTTTATCTGCTTCCGGATTTTCCTCAACGTCAACTTCCCAAGATGACCCCGCTGAAGCTGATGGCAAAGACGTAAAGAGTATACAGCTGAAAACCGAGCTTTTAGTGCCGAAAATGACTCCTAACCTCAGGAATCGGCGACAAATTAACATATAACAATCTTGCGCAAGTGTCGTTGCTGACCGGGACCCCGATGAAAAAGTGGAGGATGTCTACGATGAGCTGAAGACGACAGAATACAAAAATAACAACTTAAACACTGACCATAGGCAAATAACAGAGCATCAACATTTTGATGGAGAACCACATCGTTGTCTGTTTGTCGTGCACGATTAGGAGATAGCGGTTGAAGGCGACGATCTGGAAAATAGGATTTTGAGCACAAATTTCGAAGGGTTTTGCGTCTCGGCAATTATTGCCAAAAACCTACACTTGGCACGAGGAACGAGCAAAACCACAGCGACAGCGTGGTCATTTTATAGAAAGTACAGCTGAACACGGTGAAGGTGAAGCGACCGCCGGTGAGCTAAAAAAAAATAAAACTTTATCTTGATTTTACTAAAAATCCGATTTATTTATCTTAAATACCATAAACTAATTCTAACCTTTGATTTAAAGCTTACCGTCATCCCAAGAAATACCATGACGTTGTACCAAACAATTGGGGTAGCTGTGAAAAAACAGCCAAACGTCATGAACGTGATCGAATTCTACAAAATTTATTGGAATCTCGAGTTTTAAAGGTATATTATGAACATTTCCAGAAAATTAAGGCCAGGTTGGCTCGATTATTGGATAAAAAAAAATACAAAACAATTACATACCTGATATTCGCGCATCATTTTCGGATTAATCGCCAAGAGGAGACATAAGAAAGCGAGTACCGTAACACAAGGTAGACCGTAGCACTATAAATACGATTTTATAAGAATTTAGCCTGTAATTGCGAGATCCTATAATTTGGAAAGCATACCGTCACCTCCATCGATGGGCCCCAGAAGCTGGGTCGGATGTAGGTGGGGTCTCCATAGTATTGGAAGGACGAGCCAAGCTGGGCGAGCCTGCAACGAAGGATTTGCGCTTGGCTTCACTGAGCTAGCTTGGGTTATTAGCCTGATTTCCCAAGTCGGCTTGACAGACTAGCTTCTAAAGCTAAGCTGCCAAACCACGTCTTTAAAGTTCTCCAAAAACCTACCACTCGAAAACCATGGCTTCTTAAGTCGTTAGCTTCGTAATTCCAAGCACGGCCAAAGTTGTAATCCAATCAGGGTCGACTAGGAAGTAGGTTACGATGATCAACTGTCCTAACTCGTCTGAAAACTCGCGATTCTCGGCATTGGATTAAAGCGGAAGAGGAAAAGGTTATTGTTGAAAGACCCGCATACACAACGGTCCGTACTTGATTTAAAGTGCTGCCGGCGGCATGTGTCGATCCCCCTCATCAACAAATTGGCAAGTAGGCAACAGGGGAGAGAGAGAGCGCCCTGGAGGAGAGGCGCAGAGACATTTTCTTTTCCGCGCGTAATCGATTGACTATGCCGTCGGCATCCCTTTAATAAGTTTCTCAGAATCCCGACAGATCTAGCACAGCGTAAAAGCCGCTCCGTATAAACCGTCAAATACATAAATTGACTCGAAAGTTGTGTATGAAAGTCTTATGACATTTATGAAATACGAATTCTACCGATTAGGGGCTAAGGTATGCAATCGGAAAGCAACGTAAAACCGAACGATCTTTGCGAAAAATAAAATTTTGTGTCGTTTCAGTTGATAAATTATATTCCAGCGCCCTGAAATTTTAGGCAGAAAGCTTTACAACACAGGAACTGTTGATATGGGTTTCCGCCTACCCCAGACGCCCTTTAAACCCGGGAGCCCTTGCGGAAAAAACGGGTGTTTTTGTCAAAATTTCATGAGAGTTCGTCGCTTTCTTCCCACCGCTGATTGAAGCCATCGAGCGCAAGATATTGCCACCAGGGGACCTTTTATGGGGCGTGTTTTCGTTTGGGGGTTGAATTTTTGGTATGGATCGTGCAATAATTTGATTGGTCGCTCAAAAAACGAGTATCACAAAAATTTATAAAATTAATTTCCGACCATTGATGGCCTGAGGACTGTTTCTTCGTGCTTGGAAATGTTTCAGTTGCGGGGTCATTCAAGGAACGGCCAAAATGCCGGAATTCAAAATCAGCAGTTCAAATGCCGACAAGGATGGCTTCGAATCTAATGTGTAGTAAGTATTATACTTGATACATCGATCCTAAGAATTACAGGGTGCTGGACAAGGAAAAAAGTCGTCTTTGGGAATGACATCGGGTCTCATCTCACCTTCTTTTGTTAGGTCTAGACCCTAAAAAAAGAAGGTTTATAAAGTTGAGTTTTTTAAAAATAACGACGGTTTTTATCGCTCTATCAATGCTCGCCTGCTTGGCCTTGCTAATAGCAATTTTCCAATTTTCCTCCGAAACCCTATTTTCCTATATCCTTTGCAAATCGCGCTGGGTTCAAAACACAGCTAATCGCAAGCACAACGTTTTGCCCTCGTCACACGCGTTGCGGACCAAATTTTGTACCCTCTCAGAAGGCCTTGTTTTTACCTGCGAACGCCGACGGCGGTAGGTAATTCCGAGTATATTCGCTTCCAGCACCATCCACAACACACCGGCATGAGAACGTAGTGGGACGTCCACGAGTAATTATAGTTTCTGTATCCAGGCACCGAATACCGTAACCCGGCTAATGTGCCGGGGCGGACAGAAATAGGCTCCGGCGCTGTGTGCGGGCGCTTGATGGGAATTTCCAGACGGCAAAAACATCGGGAGTGCGAACGGAAACTTCTGGATTTTTGCGCAAGATTCTCGATATTTAGGGTATAAGCCGGCCGAGCCGCTTGTATGTGATTTAGTGATGCATAAATATTAATATTGCAAACGGAGATAACAGTGAGGCTACGGGGTGACCTGTAATTCACCAAAGGTTGTGCACGTTGAGGCTGGTGCGGTTTTGTCTAGGTCGACAATGCTGCATTAAAGGGATATGGGCGGCATGAGCCAATTGATTACGCGCGGGAAAGAAAATGTCTCTGCGCCTCTCCCCTGGGCGCCCTCTCTCGCCGCTGCATCTGTTGAACCCCCGCAAGGGGTTCAACAGATGCCGTCCTCATCTCTTTAAAGGAAGGATTGGTGCGACGAAATTTAGTTTTCTCATATGGCTTCCATTGTCTCAATTTTTACGATGAGGTCTGGCACATTTCTCAAGCTCAGTTTCACGAGCATTATTCGACTGTAATACCTTTCGACAAGCTTTGATGAACGCTATCTGGTCGGCATAACCTCTCGGAGCTTTTGAGTAGCTTCATACACAAGTGAAAACTTTATACTTTATCAAAAGGAGCGCAGTAATGATCACAACATACCGGGGGAGGGACCAGGGTTGGTCACAATGATCGGGGGTCCGCGTCCGTCCGCGTCCGTCCGCGTCCGGACGCGTCCGTCCGGGTCCGCTATGCAAATTGCGGACGCGGACGGACGCGTCCAGACGCGGACGGACGCGTCCGGACGCGGACGCAACGGACGCTACACCGTCCGCCGGACGCCGGAAGGTCCGCGATGCAAATTGCAATGACACCCTTCAATGACAATGATTTATTTCTCCGCATACAAGCCGGTGGATTCAAATGTAAAATGGCGACAATATGTCGTGTAAAAATGGTCAGCATTATAGATTATCATGCGTCCTTGCAATTTGCATCGCGGACCTTCCGGCGTCCGGCGGACGGTGTAGCGTCCGTTGCGTCCGCGTCCGGACGCGTCCGTCCGAGTGCGGACGCGTCCGTCCGCGTCCGCAATTTGCATACGGGTCCGGACGCGTCCGTCCGCGGACGGACGCGGACGGACTTTCGATCATCATGACCAACCCTGGGAGGGACTACAAATTACAAAGGAAACGCGGCAAATGTTCCATGGGTATCAAGATACCGTGCACCCACGAGATTTCCGGTTCTTCTCCCTTCCATACAAAGTTTCGAAGCTCAGCGTGACTCCTTGTTGCAGCAGTTCGGCCAGCTGAGCGCCCGCCTCTTCGAGGGGCCATTGTGTCGTAAGGTCCTCAAACGGCCTGGTTTCAAGGTCCGTAATTAGGCGTTCAGGATTGTCTGCGACCTTTCCGTCGTACATCAGGATCGGCTGCTCATTGAGCTAAAGTTAGGGTTATGTTTTATAGGGTATCGGACCATCCCGCCGAAAACCATCTCGCCGAAAACCATCCCGCCGAAAACCATCTCGCCGAAAAACCATCTCGCCGAAGACCATCTCGCCGAAAACCATTTCGCCGAAAACCATTTCGCCGAAAACCATCTCGCCGAAAACCATTTCGCCGAAAACCATCTCGCCGAAAACCATTTCGCCGAAAACCATCTCGCCGAAAACCATTTCGCCGAAAATCTAATTTTGTATGCAAATCTTTTGCCTTTCCAGGTCCTAGTTCCCGGCAAGCTAAATGGGCAAAATATTGGGCTTCACATTTTCACAACTGTGGTTGGTCTCGCCGAGAAAAATTAACTTGATTCAGATAAAACGCATTATCACAGGGTTTGAGCAACGGCGATTAATTAGCAAGCGGAATCAAATCATTGTCTAATCGAAAGACTTGGCGATCAGGTCGGTGAATTCCATCGGAATGTGATCTTAGACTGGTGACTGTACCGGCTAACTTGATAAAATTTGGTTCCCCCGCTGCCCCCCCCCCCCGCCCCCGCTGAAAGCCCAGTACTGATACTCTACCGATATATCCTTTCTCGAACCAGACGATCATCGGGATCAAGGGACGACGACGAGACAATCTCTCATTTATCTTTCAGTAATGCCTGAAATTTCCAGTAACCCCAGCAACATTACCATACAAAATTAGATTTTCGGCGAGATGGTTTTCGGCGAGATGGTTTTTGGCGAGATGGTTTTCGGCGAGATGGTTTTCGGCGAGATGGTTTTCGGCGAAATGGTTTTCGGCGAGATGGTTTTCGGCGAGATGGTTTTTCGGCGAGATGGTTTTCGGCGAGATGGTCGGAATTCGTTTTATAGGTAACATCGACCAAACCATCTCTCCAGTGGGGTCCAGTTTTTTCAGCAACTTCCAATTCGCAACCACGCAGCTCTCGTGTAGGTTGAGGACAACAATTGTGCACATTTCTTGCAGGATTTTCTGTAATTCACCTGCGTTAACCGAGGCTTCGGAGCAATGGACATGCTGATTCCCATCTTGCAGGTTTCATAGATTTTGGTACTAAAATTCGTGAATTAAATGCCTAAATTGAAAAACCAAAAACGCTTGTTTTCCGGCTTTGCCCAGAGCTTTCGATAAATACCTAAATCGACAAAATATGACGATTCCGAGGCCCACTAGGGCGCGGACCATTTTTGGGGCACCCTGTGGAATGCCAACAACCACTTTAGATACCTTCACACCCGGCAGGAAATGTTCTCCTTTATGTTGGTTCAGGAAAGCGGCGGCGGTATTGTCAAGCAAGCCGTGCCTGATCGCATTTTCCGCTCGTTTCAACAGCACCCGTGACTCAACGAGCGCTAGCCGAATTAGCTGGCTGATGTGGTCGGAGAATAGGGCCGGATTCTGAAAACAAGTGTGGCTACGGCTTTTGGTCGTCCTCCTTGCCGATGGCTGCCAACCTACTTTTTTGAAATTCTCCAAAACCGCTCTGACAGCATCGATTGATAGCGCTCCTCTAAAACTTTGCTCCCACGCCTCCATGGTGATTATCTGCTTCGACTTGGCCACCTGAAGCGTCGTAAAAGAGCATCGGTTATGTTGAAATTTAATAAACGGAGCT